CATGAGACAAGCCCCGTGCTCCCATGACCTCAGGCAATGGTTAAGTCTCTGCTTCAGCCGCTGTTGGTTAGGCTGATGCAAAACACTATGAGCATCAACGTCAAGCTCCATAGGCCTTTCTCATTAATTCAGGTATTTGATTTTCTTGTGTTCTTGAATAGAAACTGTAGTTCAGCAGAGCACTACTGAGGACAAAAGTTGGATTTCTAACTGTTATTTATAGTTTTAAAACTCCCACCTATGATTTATAACCACGAAGTTGTGCATATAGCTTTCACACTCTTTCATGTATAATTCCTCCCCCATCCCAAATCTTTTCTGGCATTTGTTACATTATTTTGTTGCATCTTGTTTCATGTTAAATTGTAGGGTCTTTGGGTCAGGAAGCCTGTCATATTTTGTGTCTGTACAATGTCTTGTAGAGGCCCAGCAGCAACTGAGATCTCTTGGAACTACAGTAATATCCTTAACAGGAGAAAGTAGTTTGGGCAGTACAGAATGAAATCTGCCTCGAAGTGACTGATTCTTGCTAATCTTTTTAAGTGTTTTTATTTTGCTTATGCCTTTGCCTTTCACATTGGCTATCTTTGCCTCTGTATTACTGATCTTTTTGTCTCTAAACTATTTCAGACACTGTGTCTGGTTTGCAGGCCTCTCTCAGGGGGATGAGCCCAGAATAGCCTCACTGATGTATTTCTTCAGATTTGGTTGTATACATGGCAGGTGAGGTACACTTGACCCTCCTCCTCCAAGAAGTGCTAATGCAGCTTTGCAGACAAACTTGCGGATGCTGATACACAGCATTCTAGTTTGATAGATAAACAGTATTAAAAGATGAAGAAATCAGAAATATTTTACTTCCAAAAACCTTGGGGGGCAGAAGTAGAGCCATCCATTCCCTTTGGAATATCTTAGGACATAGGCATGTGAGGCAAGGAAGGAAGGTGGGGTTTTACTGTGTACCATCTGCTTTGTGGTAACTGCACAGGCACTGTCTTACCCTGCAGAAATGAAAGGCAATCTGTGGTAGTTTAGCCTTCAGCAGGTGTGAGGTATGTGGTTCGGCTGTGTGGGGGGAGGTAGAAGTGTATGTGGGGGCTGTGGGAGGATGTGTTTGATGGTAGGGTGGGGAGTGTGGGAGGGTGAGGGTGTGTGTGTGTGTGTGTGTGTGTGTGAGGTGGGGGGTCCTAGAGTCCCCGGAGTATGTGAGTCCCTGGAGCTCGGTGTGGTGGCAGCTACTGGGGCTAGCCCTGCCCAGTCCCATAGCCACAATTCCCACTCTCCTGCCCCAGTCGCCAGCTGCATGTGGTAGCAGTGTGCACAGCCAACCCACAGCACGCAGGTCATAGTTTCTAGGGTCGGAAGGGACCTGAGTAGATCATCTAGTCCGACCCCCTGCCATGGCAGGAAAGATTACTGGGGTCAAACAATCCTCCAAGCCCAAAGGGAAGTAATCCCAACACGGATCAAAGGGGGCAGGAGTTCACACAAGCCCCCATGGCTCACCAAAAGCATCCAGGAATGTCTCCTAGCTAAAAGGGAGGCGTACACCCAATGGAAAGGAGGGGACATCACCAGGGAGGACTATACTGCAGTTGCTCGGGGATGCAGGGGGGCAGTCAGGAAGGCCAAGGCAGAGATGGAACTGGGACTAGCTTCCCAGATTAAGGACAATAAGAAGTCCTTCTTTAAATACATAGGTCCCCGCACTCTTGGCCCTCTTTCCCCCAGTGGGAGTCCCTGACCCATGCCCAGTGGGTCCCTTATCTGAATTCCCACACTTACAGGCTGGGAAGCTGGGAACAGCCTCAGGGTGGCCAGGCACAAGCTCTGCCAGGCAGAGGCTTCTTGTCTCAAGCACCCTGTAGCTCAGAGCTGCGGCGGGTCAGGCCAGGCTGGGGTGGGGGGTGGTTGCTTAGCAACCAGAGCTGCACCTTCTGCCTGGGGATGCCAGCTTGCAGAGGGGAAGCAAGGGCCAGGGCTTATAGAGGGCTTACGGAGGGGCTTCATGGGTCAGGTGGACTTGCCTGGAGGGCCAGATGCGGCCCGCTGGCCATATTTTGCCCGCCCCTGCTGTAGGATGAGCAGGACTAGAAGGTCTAGTCAAACCTTCACTTGCAACAGTTGCAAATCATTGGAATGCTGTGTCCTATTAAAGTTAATACAATCCTTGCCTGAAAGGGAGCAACTCTGCAACATCTCAGTGGCACTTAACACATAACTAAACTGTTTGTATTTTAAAAGCACCTAGCAGGTGGGTCTACACATTCATTAATGGACTTCTGGTAATGCACATTAAATTTAGTACCTCCTCTGTGAGGTACTAGAAAAAGGCATATTAGCTTACTTTAATACGCATTAGTGAAAGCATGCAGTTTTCTGTGCCACTTTAATGTACATTAAAATAGGCTAATGTGCATTAAAGTGCCCAGAAAGTGTTAAGTTGAATGTGTGATGGCATTCACCATAGTAAAATGTAGTAGATTTGTAAATATAAAACAATGTGTTTTTCAAGGGGCAACTTTACCCTAGATTCAAGTAATTTATTATACTGCACTTCATGTCTCTTCCTTTTTCAATTTTAATAAAGTCAATTTACTACATTAGTAAGTGGGTCATGTGTCCACATTCTTATGGTGGCTTAAGGGTGACTTTTTCTGGGCTACTTTACATTGCTTGCAAAGGATTTTAAATTAACTCAAAAAAGTCACTCATCTTGAAATAAGAGTATACATAGCAGAGTTTTCTTCTCTACTGGTTTAACTATACCAGTACATCTGGTAAACCTTTCCTTTGTATATAATCCCTTTGTTCTTTAAGCATCAGTTAAAGCGTCAGGCTCAGTCATAGGCTAGAGAGTGATGTTTGTAACATTTGGGTTAAAATCATGGAGAATGTGAGCAGGTCTAGAATGTACTGATATTAATAGAAGTCTTTAAATTGAATTCACCATGTGTTTGATCCAGTCCTTGCATAATTGCATGCTTTTCTGGGGATGGAGGGTATTTTACTGTGCCACTGTGCAACTTAAAAAAAAAATCCTCAACCAAATCTAAGTGAGCTATTTTTATTTGCAACCTTTTCAGCCTCTGTTATCATGGGGGGTTTCTTTTTCTTTAAAGTTCCTCTGCCCTCACATGTTGTTAATCACAAAGTATTTTTTTCTCTCACTTACAGACACGAACATGAATAGATATTGATAACTATCCTGAATCCATTTACTCACTTATACTATGCAGTGCTATTTTTTTCATCGATAGACTAAGTTTGAAAGTGTTGATTATTCTTGTTTTTGAGACCAGTTAATTGGTCACAGTTCATTTTATAATGGTTTGCAGCATAATTTTGGATTTAGGGGAGGCCTATTTATTGGACAAATCTGCTACTCTGGAAGATGCGGATAGTGGTTAGAAGCAGTTTATACTATCCCACCCACACACATCCCTCAGACAACTGATGGCAAGTCACTAGAGAGTTACTCAGAGCTTGAGAATGGTTGGGATAGTAAAATATTTATAGGAGCACTCAACAGTTTAGCACAAGATGGGCCATATGGTACCCTTCTACAGCTACTATACATAGAAAGATAGCTACACATATAGACTATATATCAATATGTGTGTACACACACACATACGCACACATTACTATTTATGTATATGGGGTGTGGATAACTATTTTAGAGAAAGAATAGTGTGCCTTTACACACAATGAGCCGCTATACATATTCCCACCTCCACCCCAATAACGTATCAGGAGTGTCAAAGATACGGTCCCCCATGCTGCCCCTGGGTCTCAGAGCAGACCCACAGGCCACATGTGGTGGGTGCTGCACCAGTCCCACACACAAGGCCCCGACCTGTGTCACATGTGCCACTCACCCTGGCTGCTCTGGCTCCAGTGACGCATGCAGCACATGTCCTGGACCCAGGGCTGGATCTGGCATGTGGGGGGGGGCATGTGTGGTCCATGGGCTAATCCAGCCTGTAGACAAGCCCTCTGTGGGCCACGTGAGTTTGACACCCCTGAATCAGAGCTACTGCTGGTCTCCTGTGTCAAGTTAGGGTGTTAAGTCTGTGCTGTGTCAGGGCTGATGGGACTTTTAGCCAGGATTTAGTAGATGCTTCGTATGGGATGGTTTGGATAGGGATGATCCTGTCTCAGCAGAGATTAGACCAGCGTTTCTCAACCCGTGGGTCGCCAGACTATACGAAAGGGTCACAAACACAGTTTAAAGATGGATTCTCTTTTTAAAGGAGAAAAACTCAGGAAACCGTGGCATTTCCCTTGCACTCTGGCAGCGCTCCAGCCTGCTTGGGGCCCCCATGTCCCACCTCCCCCACCCTTTGCCCCACACACACTGGGGGAGCTGGGGCCTGGGGGCAGCAGGTTGGGAGTGCGGGGCACTGGCCACCAATGTTTGCAGGTGGGTCCTGGTACGAAAAAGAAAAGGTTGAGAAGCACTGGCCTAGGTGACCGCTGAGGTCCCTCCCAGATCTGCTTCTCTAGGGTGCTATGGCGCACGGACGTGCGTGTGGAAACACACGACATACAGCCGCGCTTGTGCACGCAGCCACATACAGGCGCACGGGGTGGGGGGCGGTGTGTGTCGGGCGTCCCGGGGCAGCACGCGGGGGCCCTCCCACCCCGCTGCCCGCGCCACGAGCTGCCCCGGCGCGGCA